GTGAATTATTATTTGATATAATCTCAATTTTAATGTAAAATTATTCTTTTTAGCTGCTTAAAAAAGATTATATTTTTTATTGTGCGCTATTTTTATCATCAATTTTTGGTTTTTCATTCGTTTTTTACTTCTACTTATAGATTATTGGAACAAAAGTTTTTAAGACACTATTAAAAATACTTTGAATAAATTTTATAAATTCATTAAAATGATTTATTTATAAGTTTAATTAAAAGCTATTTCTTAATATGATAGAGCACACGTTTCGATAATCTGAATGAATTGTTATTTTATTGATATCTGAGATATTAAATCTCTAAATATGTTTATAGCTACAAAGGTCTTAAAGTACAAAAAAAGAGTTATGTGTAAGGAAAATTATCCTTTTTTTCTTCTCTCCTGAACTAGATATTTTAGTTGCTAACTCACTAAAAAAGTATTAATTTAGATCATTTGAATTACAGATCTCTTTTTCTAGTATCTATTAAATGAATTTTTCTTGGATTATGTTACCAAAGTCCATGTCTGATTAATAAAATGCGTCTTTAACATCCCTTTATTAGACTTTTTCGTATCAATAAATTTAGATATTTTACTCAAATTATTTTACTTTAGTTCTGATCAAATGTTTGAGATCTTTTCAATGTTGATTTACTAATTGTTTTTAAATTCTCTTAAGAAAATTAATCTAGATAATCTTATTAAAAAAAACAATAAGATGAGATTTTTAAAAATAATTCAGTATGAGTAAGGAAATAAATTGATTACGTAATTTTTTGATTTTATCAACCTAATTTTATTGAAGTAAATATAATAATTTCTTAAAATCTTCTTCATTGCTTTCACATGCATCTAATAATTAAAAAAAAATATGCTTTTGTAGTGAAAATTAATATAGAACAATAATATTTATTTATTCATTTAACTTCAATAAAAAAAATAAGTAGGAAAAAAAACTTTGCTAGTTAAGATTAAAAATTTACTTTTTTAATTAAGGTCTTAGAAGGTAATAGTTTTATGTAAAGAACTTTTTATACTACTCATCATGCTTTTCTCAGTTTTTTAATAATACGAATTATCTAAACTTTTTTTGCTTTAATTTTCATCTTAATCATAACTTTCTTCTTCCTTATCATCAATAAAGTTTTCTTTTTTTATAATATTTTTTATGAAAAGAAAATATAAAATTATTTTGCCTAAATAATAAAAAGCTACTTTGTTTTTAATCTGAATCCAATACTTTAGATTTTAAAATTTGAGAATGGATTGTTGAGTAATTAGATATTTCATTCGCTAATTATAAAAAAACTTACAATTTAAAATACTAAATAAAGATAAAATTACTGTTACGCTTATTTTCAGTATCGCAGATTCCTGAATTGTATGTAAAATTTTTTATTTTTAAGCTATTTATAGAGTTAATTGTTTCTTTAGTATCATCATCATCTTCTTCTATGTCAGCATACGAATCTTCAATTTTAATGAATTTTTATAAATTCTAAATTTAATTTATTGTTTTACCTGCTAAATTAAATGAGTTCTTTTATTTTAAATCAATCTCTGTATTTTTTAGCTCGCATTTAACAAATATACTAGTATCTATTTTTTATTTGATTGATTCTTAATATTTTGTAAGACAAAAGAGGCTTTCTGTATTTTGGTTAATTAATCTTAATTATAAGATGTTAATTAAATCATCTGATATAAAAAACATAAATATTATATTACTTAGAGTTTTGTGGGAATTCCTAAGATTATTCTGTTTAAGCATCTATTTAGGAAAGATATGTGTTTTTATTTAGGTAATTATCTTTAAAATTGTAGTTATCAGTCATTTATTTTTTATTTTTCTTAATATTTGATTATTTATTTTACAAATTAATTAAAGTCTAATTGGAGATCTAATTTGCTTTTTATCATATAAATAACTGATCAATTTATCAAAAAAATAACAACCAGCTAGCTAGCTATTCACTTATTAAAATCTGATAAGAAACATCATTAAAAGAAATGCTTATGCAGAAAATAAAATTCACTTATTAAAATCTGATACGAAACACCAATAAAAAAATGTTTATCAAGAAAATAAATTTTCTAGAAATTGGAATTGTACTTTATTACTAATTCAGAATAAAATTAATTATCTACTTAATTTTTTTATTCCTCTAGCTGAGTATTTTGTAATTATTTTTAAAATTCTTTATCTTATTTTTTGTTCAAAATCTTTTATTTTTATTCCCTCTTTTTCAGTTTTTACTTTCACTCTTTTTTGAAAATTCTGAATTTTAATTTATATTATAGGGGGCTACAGGATTAGCTCACAATTTTCGTAGTAGAAAAAGGGGATATATTTTTAAAAATAATTTTGTTATTTTCTTAATAAAAAAATTAAGGAAATCTTATATTTTTGATATTAAATTGAAACAATATTCATTGGTTTACTACAAATTGCTTAAATAAAGAAATATATATATTATAATTTTTTTTGAAATTAGATTTAAATGATAAATCAAAATTTTAGTAGTAGATATAAAATAATAAAATACATGAAATAATATTTAAATAATTTGATAAATATATATAAATTTCTATTGAATCTATCATTTAATTTCAATTTCTAAATATATAATACTTTAATTTAATTGATAAAATATGGAAAAATTTGTCATATCAGAGCTCTACTAGTTGTGCTTTACTAGAATATATTAAATATTTAATGGAAGATTAGTAGAAATGCCATTAGGGTGTAGGTGACCCTTCCCTTCTAGTATATTACCCACAATTATATATAAATAAATTGGTATACGTATAATAATAATGTATAAGTAATTATATATAGGGCCCCTATCCCGAGTGCATGTCACCATGTGCGAGTATGTATGTATGTATGTCACCAATTTCATTGAACCTTTTTAAATATTGAAGAAAAAATTTATAACTTAATAGTAAATTAGAAGGAAAAAATGAAGAAAAAGCATGAAATAATAAGATTAATTAATTAATAATAAAAACTAAAGTTGAAAATAAAATGATAGGTTAAATTAAGAAAGAAAGAAAGAAAGAAAGAAGATAAAAAGGCATGTAGAATAAAAAGAAAAATGAGTTAAAAAGAAAGATCAATAAATATGTTTTTGTTGATTTAAAAAATCATGAGTTATAATTTTGTTCAAAGAGCCTACTGAATTCTTTCTCTCACTTTGGAATCCTAGTCATATAATAATTAAATAAAAAAAAAGGATAACAACAAGATGTAAATATGGTGTAAGCTGTTTACAGTTAATAGTAATTAGTTTTCGCTAATTTCAATATCTTCAAAAAATTAAAATTCATGGAAATTTCTTGATTTAAACTTAAATTAAATGTTTTTTTATTATTGTAATTATATATTACTGGCTTTATCTTATTCTTTTACTTGTAAAAACCACTCCTTCTAAATAGGCAAATATGCTTTTAAGATGCATTTGAAAATATTTTGAATAAAATAAATAAACTCTTTAAAATGTTTAATTTGTATTTTAAGTTAATAGATATTTTGGAAAATAATTGAGCAAATATTACTACTTACTCAATGAATTATTATCTCTTTTATATCAAAAATATCAAATGTTTAAATATGATCATGGCTATAAAGATCTTTTAGTACATAAAAACAATTTTATGTAATAAATATTATTTTTTATTTCTTCTCTCCGAGTTTATATATTTTAGTTACCATCTCACTGAAAAAATATTTTTTTAAAAATAATTAATTGCAAATTTCTTTATCATGTAAGTCTAAAATAAGTTCTTCATTTTTTATATTAAAATAGTCCATATCAAGATAATAAATAGTATGTTTAAAAAGTGTGTTTTCTCTCTAATTTCCCTTCTTAAAAAATTAGTAAATATATTTAATTTGTGGTTTTTATGTGATATAATTAGATGAGTAATATTAAAAGGATTATTGTTTTTTCAGTGTTGATTTATTAGCTCTTTTAGAATCATCTAAATATAGTTAGTATCTATGCTCTTTTTATTATGGTAATTAGATTAATTTAGAATTATATTAAATCAAAATATAACATAATTAATTAATTACCTGAGTTAGTTAGCAACTTTTACTTCTAATTTACCTTATTGGAGTGAGAGTGATTTATTTTTTTCACAATTAAAAAATTTGCCTAATTTATTAAAATTAAAATAATCAAATCAATTTTTGTGGAAAATTAATACAAAATAGTTAATTTTAAGTGAGTGAATTAAAAATTTTAAAGTTATTGAAATTGACGAATTTATGTAGTACAACATAAGTTCAAATTATCAATTAAGTGTTGTCTTTAATTCATTTTTTATAAAGAAAACTATTTCATTGAATTGCTTCATTAATTTAATAAAATACCTTTAAATATTAAATCTTAAAAAGTAATTCTCTTGGATACAGAATTTTTTTGGTTATGGGTTCCAGTTTTTTACAAAGGTAGATATGTAGAATTCTTTAAAGAATTTTTATTTTCATCATCATTATCATCAAAAATTCATCCTTAGTTTTGAATAAGTCAAATTTTTATTCATGAATAATATATTTCTTTTAAAAGCAATTTACTTGACTAATTTAAAGGTAAATCTAGAAAGAAATTTTTTTCATTTTGATTTAAATCTGTTCCATTTGATAAATTGATTTAAGTTGAGCTGGTTGTTAATTTTGATGAGTAGTTGGCTTTATGTAAAAATATTTCAGGTTTTAAATGAGTAAACTAAAATTAATTAATTAATTAATTTTCAAAAAATATTACACAGAACTTTTAAAAATATTTTATTATTTTATATTTTCATTAAATTTATCAGTAATAGGGGTCTAGCTTTTTATGATTAAGCACCTTACTGAATTTATTTTTTCTTAAGTTTCATAGTCATGAATATCTACTTATAACAAATTTGCTATTAATTATTACGAAACCAATTTTTTATTTATTATTTTCTACTTTATTTGTAGATTTTTTTTTTGTGATCTGCTTCCATTTTGCTAAATATTGAATCAGGTTTTCGAGATAGAGGTTAAAAGTCTTCAACAGAGTAATATAAAGTACTTTTATATCATAATATGTTTTTTATACTCAATGATAAATAAAGATATTCCTAATATTCTAATTTTAAAGTCTTTTTTTCTTTTATAGAGTCCTTCAAAGAGTGAAAAATATTTTTAGTTTAAAAGTATGTTTGCAACTCACAACTATTATTCATTTATCTTTACATTATAAGCATTATTATTGTATTTATTAATTATTTTTTTTGTTATAAAATCTATTAAACAGAATATTAATAAATAAATTAGAAATGAAATAAAATTTATAAAGGTTCTTCAATTTTGAAACACATTTATTTTTGTAAAAATTTAAAAAGCTAATAAAATTCAATTCAAGATTTAAATTACTATTTATTATTTGGAAAATTCAGTCAGTCAGTTAGTGTATATATTATGTTTTAAGATCAACTTTTTAAATTACTCATGTGACTTTTAGTTTAACTTTTATTTACTTCTTTTGATTTAACATTAATTATACTTTTAAATGAAATTTTTAGATTAATTAGGTCAGCATATTTTTGTTTTTAAAAACTCATCTTTGATTTTATTCTTAAGACATTTAAATTTTTTCCCTCGTTCTTAATTACCTTCCTTAAAATTATCTTAATCATTAGCAGCTTAAAAACTTTGGCAATATCTACAAAAAATATTTATATTTACTTAAATACTTGAAAATATAATTTAAATTGCACTAAATTAACTCACACTACTATTTTTACTTTTTATATTTCTTCTTAACAATTCATAAATACAAAATAACTACTATTTTTTTGAAAAATAAATCAAAAATTCAATAATAAAATTAGTTAAAGAAAGAAAGAAATTATATCTAATAAATTCTTATCATTTTCTTTTTACTATTAATTTTGCTGTATAACCTTTGTTATTAAAAATATAACCCAGTCAACAAACAGTATACATATGTTGAAAATTTAATTTATTGTTCTTCATTTATAGCAAACAAAAAAATGGATAATTAATAGCTTTAAAATCTTTCATATTTTATTTTAAAATTTGTTAAAATCTTATGATTTGAATGTATCTAAAAATTTATTGTATATCTTAAAAAATAGTAAATAAATAATAAATTAGATTTAAAATTAATAGATATTTTTATTAAAATAAACAAATTATTTTAATTTAGAAATTTATTATAGAAATATGAATAAATATAATATATATTAGATAAGAATCTATCATTTAATTAAATTATTTTTTATATCTTATAATTTGTTTACAAAAAGAGGAAAATCTGAGTCTACTAATAATTTTATATGAAAGATTAGGTCTGGATTTCTTATTGATTAAAAAATAAAGTATTATTATTCTAGATTTTAATTTAATAATACTACTTATGTAAATCTCTTTAATTCTTAACACTTCTCCAATCCAGTAATTTAAATATCTTTTTAAAAGAATTATAGTAACCCTAAAATTATAGAATCACTTTGCGAATTATTATTTGATATAATCTCAATTTTAATGTAAAATTATTCTTTTTAGCTGCTTAAAAAAGATTATATTTTTTATTGTGCGCTATTTTTATCATCAATTTTGGGTTCTTCATTCGTTTTTTACTTCTACTTATAGATTATTGGAACAAAAGTTTTTAAGACACAATTAAAAATACTTTGAATAAATTTTATAAATTCATTAAAATGATTTATTTATAAGTTTAATTAAAAGCTATTTCTTAATATGATGGAGCACACGTTTCGATAATCTGAATGAATTGTTATTTTATTGATATCTGGGATATTAAATCTCTAAATGTGTTTATAGCTACAAAGGTCTTAGAGTACAAAAAAAGAGTTATGTGTAAGGAAAATTATCCTTTTTTTCTTCTCTCCAGAACTAGATATTTTAGTTGCTAACTCACTAAAAAAGTATTAATTAAGATCATTTGAATTACAGATCTCTTTTTCAAGTATCTATTAAATGAGTTTTTCTTGAATTATGTTGCCAAAGTCCATGTCTGATTAATAAAATGTGCCTATAGCATCCCTTTATTAGGCTTAATAGTATAATAAATTTAGATGTTTTACTCAAATTCTTTTTAAATTTTTTTACTTTAGTTCTGATCAAATGTTTGAGATCTTTTTAATATTGATTTACTAGTTCTATTTGAATTCTCTTAAGAAAATTAATCTAGATAATCATTTAAAAAAAATAATAAGATGAGATTTTAAAAATAATTCAGTGTGAGTAAGGAAATAAATTGATTACGTAATTTTTTGATATTATCAACCTAATTTTATTGAAGTAAATGTAATAATTTCTTAAAATCTTCTTCATTGCTTTCACATGCATCTAATAATTAAAAAAAGTTTACTTAAAATAATGTAAATATGCTTTTTTAGTGTAAAAAATAAATATATAATAATAATATTTATTTATTCATTAAACTCCAATGAAAAAAATAAGTAGGAAAAAAACTTTACTTTTTTAATTAAGGTCTTAGAAGGTAACAACAGTATTATGTAAAGAACTTTTTATACTACTCATCATGCTTTTCTCAGTTTTTTAATAATTCGAATTATCTAAACTTTTTTTGCTTTAATTTTCATCTTAATCATCGCTTTCATCTTCCTTATCATCAATAAAGTTTTCTTTTTTTATAATATTTTTTATGAAAAGAAAATATAAAATTATTTTGCTTAAATAATTGATTTTTAGTGATTTAAAATAAAAAGCTACTTTTTTTAAAATCTGAATCCAATACTTTAGATTTTAAAATTTGAGAATGGATTATTGTGTAATTAGATATTTCATTGGCTAATTATAAAAAATCTTACAATCTAAAATACTAATTAAAGAAATAATTTACTGTTACACTTATTTTAGGTATCGCAGATTCCTGAATTGTATGAAAAATTTTTTATTTTTAAGCTATTTATAGAGTTAATTGTTTCTTTAGTATCATCATCATCTTCTTCTATGTCAGCATACGAATCTTCAATTTTAATGAATTTTTATAAATAATAAATTTAATTTATTATGTTTTACCTGCTAAATTAAATGAGTTCTTTTATTTCAAATTAATTTCTGTATTTTTTAGCTCGCATTTAACAAATATATTAGTATCTATTTTTTATTTGATTGATTCTTAATATTTTGTAAGACAAAAGAGGCTTTCTGTATTTTGGTTAATTATTCTTTATTATAAGAGGTTAGTTAAATCATCTTTTATAAATATCATAAATATTATATTACTTAGAGTTTTGCGGGGATGCCTAACCTTATTCTGTTTATGCATCAATTTAGGAAAGATAAGTGTTTTTATTTAGGTAATTATCTTTAAAATTGTAGTTTTCAGTCATTTATTTTTTAATTTTCTTAATATTTGATTATTTATTTTACAAAATTAATTAAAGTCTAATTGGAGATCTAATTTGCTTTTTATCATATTAATAACTGATCAATTTATCAAAAAAATAACAACCAGCTAGCTAGCTATTCGCTTATTAAAATCTGATAAGAAGCATCATTAAAAGAAATGCTTATGCAGAAAATAATATTCACTTATTAAAATCTGATAACAAAACACCATTAAAAAAATGCTTATCAAGCAAATAAATTTTCTAGAAATTGGATGTACTTTATTACTATTTCAGAATAAAATTAATTATCTTCTTAATTTTTTATTCCTCTAGCTGCATATTTTGTAATTATTTTAAAAATTCTATTTCTTATTTTTTTGCTCAAAATCTTTTATTTTTATTCCCTCTTTTTCTGTTTTTTTTCTCTCTTTTGGATAAAGCTCACAATTTTCGTAATAGAAAAGGGGATCTATTTTTAAAAATAATTTTGTTATTTTTATTAAAAAAAAATTAAGTAAATCTTATATTTTTGTAATTAAAGTGAATCAAATTCATTGGTTTACTACAAAGTGCTTAAATAAATATATATACATATTATAATAATATTGGTTTACTACAAATCGCTTAAATAAATATATATATATATATTATTATTATTTTGAAGTTATATTTAAATGATAATCAAATTTTTAGTAGTAGATATAAAATAATAAAATACATGAAATAAAATTTAAATAATTTGATAAATATATATATAATTCTATTGAATCTATCATTTGATTTAAATTTTTAAATAAAAAAATACTTGAATTTTTTTGATAAAATATGGAAAATATATGTCATATCAGAGCTCTACTAGTTGTACTTTGCTAGAATATGTTAGATATTTAAAGATAAATATCATTTTTATTTGTATTTTTTGTTTAATTATACTTAATTGAGTGGGTCTATTCAATTCATGACATTTCTAACTATTTACTGAATTTGAATTTAGTCTCTTTTATTTATTTAAAGGCGAAGCTAAGACCAATTCAGTGTTTTTATTTTTACTGACTTTAGCTTATTCTATTTATTCTATGAGTTGTTATTTCCACTCTTACTAAATAGACAAATATATTTTAAGGCTTGTTTAAAAATGTTTTGAATAAATTAAATAAATCCCTTAAAATTTTAATTTGTAAAGTAAAAATATATTTCTCACAATAACTGAGCAAATATTGCTTCTCTCAGAATGAATTATTATCTTTTATGTCAGAAATATAAAATTTTAAAATCTGGTTATGACTATAAAGATCTTCTAGCACATAAAAAATTTTTGTGTAATAAAGGTTATCTTTTATTTCTTATCTTTTGGTTTAGATATTTTAAAATATACCTTTTTTAATACCTTAATTTCAAATTTCTTTATCAAGTAAGGCTAAAATAAGATATTAATTTTTTACTTTAAAATAGTCCATACCAAGATCGCATGATTAAAAAAGTATTTTTTTCTCTCATATTTTCCTTCTTAATAAATTAGTGAATATATCTAATTTATGATTTTTATGTGATATAATTAAATGAATTAAATTAAAGGGATTATTGTTTTTTCAGTACTGATTTATTAGTTTTTTAGAATCATCTAAATATAGTTAGTATTACACTCTTTTTATTATGATAGTTAAATTAATTTAGAATTAAATTAGATCAAAAAAAAGTTAATTAATTACCTGAATAATTAACTTTTACTTGTAATTTACCTTGTTGGATCAAGAGTGATTAATTTTCTTCACAATCGAAAATTAAGACAAAAAATTTAATTTTAAATGAGCGAATTAAAAGTTTTAAGGCTATTGAAATTGAGTATTTCATGTATTACAACATAATTTAAATTATCAGATAAGTGTTTTCTTTAATTAATTCTTTATGTCAAATAATCAAGCTATCATGTCGTTGGATTGCTTCAATAATTTAAAAAAAAACATTTGTTAATTAAATTTTGAAAGGTAATCTCTTTGATAGATTATAGATTCCACTTTTATACATAGATTTCTTTAAAGAATTTTTATTTTCATCATTAATATTCTTCTCAAAAAAGCATCCTTAATTTTAAATCAGTCAGGTTTTTACTAATAAAAAATATAATTGTTTTAAAAACAATTTACTAACTTATTTAAAGGAAGGTAAATCTAGAAAAAAATTTTTTTATTCTTGATTTAAATCTATTCCATTAGATTTTTAGATTTAAGTTGAGCTGTTACTGTTAAATTTCAGAAGAAGATTAATAAATGAATTAGAAATGAAACAAAAATTTAAAGATAGTTTCTTTAATTCTTAAACATAATAATTTGAGTAAAAACTATTGATTATTTGGAAATTTCAGTCAATCAGTCAGTGTATTTATTTATTATGTTTTAAGATCAATTTTTTAATTAAATTACTCACACAACCTTTAATTTACTCCATTTGATTTAACATTAATAACACTTTTAAAATGAACTTTTTAGATAAATTAATTAGTTCAGCATATTTTTGTGTTTAAAAATCAATTTTTGATTTTATTCTAAAGACCTATATATTTTTTACCTCCTTCTTTAATTAAAATCCTAAAATTTTTAAAATTATCTAAATCATTAGCAGCTTAAAAGACAGACTTTGGCAATATCTACGAAAAATACTAACTTAAATACTTGAAAAATACTTTAAATTGTACTAAAGTAGCTTACACTTATATTTTCACTTTTTATGTTTATTCTCAGCAATAAGTAATTGCCAAGTAACTACCATTTTTTGAAAAAAATGTAAACAATAATAAAAATTTGCTGAAGGAAAAAAATTATATTTAATAAATTCTTACTTTTTTCTAATATTATTCAATTTGCTATATAACCTTAGCTATTAAAAATATAATCCATCAATAAGCATTATTATGTGGTAAATTTAATTTACTATTCTTCATTTAATAAAAAGTAAACAAACAAACAAATAAACAAAAAAATGGATAATTTAGAATTTAAAAATAAATAATAATTAATTTTCAAAATTTTTTGTTTAATATTTGAAGTAATAATCATATTATTTTTAATTTTTCTTTCATATCTAATAAATTAAGTCTGACTGACTATCATTTTAAAAATATAAATATATAGTATATGAATACATATCATAATAATTATTATATAATAAATACTTATTTTACACTACTCATCAATGATATTTATTTGGCACCCACAAAACAAAAATATATTTTATAAAAAAAAATTATTTTAATTTAGAAATTTATTGGATAGAACTATGAATAAACATGATATGTATTAAAAATCATTTAATTAAATAATTACTTATATCTTATATTTTCTTTACAAAAAGAGGAAAATCTGAGTCTACTAATAATTTTATATGGAAAATTAGGTTTGGGTTTCTTATTGATTAAAAAATAAAGTATTATTGTTCTAGATTTTCATTTAATAATACTACTTATGTAAATCTCTTTAATTCTTAACATTTCTCCAATCCAGTTATTTAAATTTCATTTTAAAAGAATTACAGTAGCCCTAAAATGAAAGAATCACTTTGCGTATTATTGTTTGATATAATCTCAATTTTAATATAAAATTATTCTTTTTAGCTGCTTAAAAAAGACTATATCTTTTATTTTGAGCTATTTCTATCATTAATTTTAGTTTCTTCATTCGTTTTTTACTTCTACTTATAAATAATTGGAAGAATAGTTTTTAAGACACAATTAAAAATACTTTGAATAAATTTTATAAATTCATTAAAATGATTTATTTATAAGTTTAATTAAAAGCTATTTCTTAATATGATGGAGCACACATTTTTATAATCTGAATGAATTGTTATTTTATTGATATCTGAGATGTTAAATCTCTACATTTTTTTATAGCTACAAAGGTCTTAGAGTACAAAAAAAGAGTTATGTGTAAGGAAAATTATCCTATTTTTCTTCTCTCCAGAACTAGATATTTCAGTTGCTAACTCACTAAAAAAATATTAATTAAGATCATTTGAATTACAGACCTCTTTTTCAAGTATCTATTAAATGAGTTTTTCTTGGATTATGTTACCAAAGTCCATGTCTGATTAATAAAATGCGTCTTTAACATTCCTTTATTAGACTTATTAGTATAAATAAATAAATAATTTTAGATGTTTTACTTAATTGCTTTTTCAAATTTTTTACTTTAGGGCTAATCAAATGTATGAGATCTTTTTAATATTGATTTACTAGTTCTTCTTAAATTTTCTTCAGAGAATTGATTGAATTAATCTTTTAAAAAAAACAACAAGATGAGATTTTAAAAATAAATTAATTAATTCAGTAAGAGTAAGTTAGAAATTGATTACGTAATTATTTGATTTTATCACCATAGTTTTATTGTAGCAAATATAATAATTCCTTAAAAGCTTCTTCGTTGCTTTCAAATTCATCTAATAATTTAAAAATAATACAAGTGTGATTTTTTGGTGTATAAAATGAATATAGAACAGTACTATTTTTTCATTTAACTTCAATCAAAAAAATAAATACGAAAAAAACTTTGCTAATTAAGATTAAAATTTACTTTTTTAATTAAGTTCTTAGAAGGTAACCCTTTTATGTAGAGAACTCTTTATAATACTCAACATATTTTTCTCAGTTTTTTAATAAATTGAATTATTTAAACTTTTTTTGTTTTAGTTTTCATCTTAATCTTCACTTTCTTCCTCCTTATCATCAATAAAAATTTCTTTTTTTATAATATTTTTTATGAAAAATATATAAATAATTTAGCATAAATGATTGATTTTTAATGATTTAAAATAAAAAACTACTTTGCTTTTAATCAGAATCAAATACTTCAGATTTAAAAACTTGGGAATGGCTAGTTTAGTAATTAGGTGTTTCATTGGCTAATTTAATAAAAAAAGTTTTACAATCTAAAATACTAAAGTAGTCAATTACTGTTACTCTTATTTTCTGTTTCACAGATTCCAGAATTGTATGAAAAGTTTTTTATAGTTAAGTTATTTATTGAGTTAATTGTTTCTTTAGTATCTTCATCTTATATGTCAGCATTTGAATCTACAAAATATAAATTAATAAATAAATAAGTTATTTTAAAAGCAAATTTTAATTTATTGTTTTACTTGCTAAATTAAATGAGTTCTTTGATTTTAAATCAATTTCTCTATTTTCTAACTAGCATTTAGCAAGTGTACTAGTGTATATTTATTATTAGATTAATTCATGATTTTGTGAAAGACAAAAGAGACTTTCTGTATTTTGGTTAATCATTCTTTATTATAACAGATTAGTTAAATCATCTTATATAAAGTATCATAAACATTCTATTACTTAGAGTTTTGTGGGGATGCTTAAGCTTATTCTCTTTAAACAGCAATTTAGGAAAGATAAATCTTTTTATTTTGTTAATCTACTTTAAAATTGCAGCTTTCATTCATTTATTTTTTTCTTCTTCTTAATATTATGCATATTAATTATACAAATTAATTAAAGTCTAATAAGAAGTCTAAATTGCTTTTATCATCTTAATAACTGATCAATTAAGCAACAACAAAAAAATTACCCACCCAGCTAGCTAGCTATTAACTTATTAAAATCTAATACAAAACTTAATTACAAATTTGCTAACGCAGAAATGATCTTTGTAATTTTACATTATTATTATTATTATTATTATTAATTCATAATAAAATTGGTGAAGTTAAAAGCAGCAAAAGAGTTGTAATTTAAGTCAATTAATAGTTTTTAAAACACTTTTGATTTTTTTAGTTCTAATTATTGGGTTGAAATGTATCTAATTTTTATTTGAATTTTGTTTTTAACCTTCAATAATCTAATTGATTCTTAGCCAAAATTTATCAGATTTTTATTAATACTGTAAATTTATATTTTATCTTTGTGCATAAAAAATTTTTTTAAAAACAAATTCTTAATTATTCTCAAAATTGGACAGTGAACCTTAAGTACGTTATTAGTCTTTTTAAGATAAGCTATGTTAGCTTTTTAAAGGTGATTCATTTTTACAAATAAATTTATTAATTTATTCAAAAAAAAAATTGAAGTAAACCTTATATTCTTGGCATTAAATTGAAACAAAATTCATTTTTTTACTACAAATTGCTATAATAAAAATATTTATTTTAGAAGAATTTTGAAATTAGATTTAAATGATAAATCAAAATTTTAGTAGTAGATATACAATTAAATAGATAGAAATGAAATAATATTTAAATAATTTGATAAATATATATATAAATTTTGTTAGATTCAATCCATCGTTCGATTCCAATTTTTAAGTATATAATTATTTAATTTGATTGATAAAATTTGGAAAATATTTGTGATATCAGATAGATCTCTACTAGGTGTGATTGGCTACAATATATTAGAGATTTATAAATAAATATCATTTTTATTAGTATTTTAGTTTAATTATGATTAATTAAGAGGGATAAATTCAAATTCAATTCATGACATTTATATTTAGTTACTAAATTTAAATGTAGCAATCTTTTTTTAATTTATTTAAATGTGAATTTAAGGTAAATTCAGTGTTTTTATTTTTATTGGTTTTAAATTATTCTATGAGTTGTTATTTCCACTCCTACTAAATAGGCAAATATGTTTTTAAGATGCATTTAAAAATGCTTTAAATAAATAAAATAAACTCATTAAAATGTTTAATTTGTATATTTAGTTAAAAGATATTTTTCACAATGATTGAGCAAATATTGCTACTCTCAGAATGAATTATTATCTTTTTTATGTCAGAAATATCAAATTTTTAAATATGGCTATGGCTGTAAAGATTTTCTAGCACATAAAAACAATTTTGTGTAATAAAGATGATCTTTTATTTCTTCTCTCCGGATTTAGATATTTTAGTTACCATCTCACTGAAAAAATACTTTTTATTTTATACTTAATAAGAAATTTCTTTATCAAGTAGGTCTTAAATAAGTTCTTCGTTTTTTATATTAAAATAGTCCATATCAAGATCGCTGGTTTAAAAAGAATGTTTTCTGGCTTATTTTCCTTCTTAATAAATTAGTAAATATATTTAATTTATGATTTTTATGCTATATAATTACATTAATTAAATTAAAGGGATTATTGTTTTTTCAGTATTGGTTTTTTCGCTTTTTTAGAATCATCTAAATATAGTTAGTATCTACAATCTTTTTATTATCATAGTTTGATTAATTTAGAATTGGAATAGATCAAAATTTATAATTTAATTAATTAATTAATTACCTGAGTTTGTAATTTTTTCTTCTAATTTACCTTGTTCGAGCAAGAGTGATTAATTTTCTTCAAATTTCTAAAATTTATCTAATTTATTAAAATTAGAATTATCAAATTAATTTTGTGGAAAATTTATACAAAAAAGTTAATTATATGTGAGTTAGTGAGTGAATTAAAAGTTTGTAAAGTTATTGAAATTGAGGAATTTATTAACGTAGAATTAACAAATAAGAGTTGTCTTTAACTCTCGTTTTTTATAATAATCAAGAAAATTGTTCCATTGAGTTACTTCATTAATTAAACAAAATAAATACCTTTCAATAATAGATCTTGAAAGGTTACTCTCTTTGATAGAGAGTTTTGCTGGTTATCAATTCCGCTTCTCTACATAGCTATACATGCTTAATTCTTTAAAGAATTTTTATTTTCATCATCATTTTCATCAAAAATGCATCCTTTGTTTTAAATAAGTAAGATTTTTATAAGTAAAGTATATAATTGTTTTAAATGTAATTTACTTGATTAATTTAAAGGTAAGTCTAGAAAGAAATTTTTTTCTTTTTCATTTAAACCGTTTCCATTAGATTCGTAGATTTACGTTGAACTAGCTGTTTAAACTGATGATTAGTTGGCTTTATGTAAAAAATTTCAGATTTTAAAAGCAAACTAAAATGAATTAATTACTTTTCTAAGAAGATTACACAGAATTTTTAAAAATATTTTATTATTTTTTATTTCCATTCAATTTTTCAGGGATAGGAATCAAGCTTTTTATGATAAAGCTATTTATCGAGTTTATAGTTTCTTAAGTTTCATAGTCATTAATATCTGCTTTTTAATCATCTATTTATAACAAATCTGCTATTAATTATTACAACACCAATTTTTTTATTTATGATTTTACCTTGAAGGGTGGAGCATTAGTCAGCTTTTAGAAAAAGTTTTCTACTTTATTAGCAGGTTTTTTTTTTGTGATCTACTTCCATTTTGCTAAATATTGAATCAACATTTCGAGAGAGAGATTAAAAGCCTTCAGCATAGTCACATAAAGCTCTTTTATATCATAAGATGTTTGTTATACTAATGATAAATAAATATATTCCAAATAAATTTACTTACTTATTATCATGGGATTGTGAAAAGTTTTTTTCTTCTATAGAGTTGTACTAGCAATGGAGAATATATTTAGTTTAAAATTATGTTTGTAACTCACAATTATTGCTCATTTATTTTTTCATTTTAAGCGTTATTATTGTATTAATTATTTTTTTTTTATAAAATCTATTAAGTTTCATGGTCACTTAAATTACTGCTAAATTATAGCAGATGATAAATACATAAATGAATTAAAAATGAAATAAAAATTTGAAGATTATCTCTTCAATTTTAAAACTGAGTTATATTTTGTAAAAATTTAATAGATAACGAAATTCAATTGAAGATTTAAATATTGGTTGTTTGGGAAGATCAGTCAGTCTATTTATTATTTTTTAAGATCAATTTTTTAATTAAATTACCCACATAACCTTTAATATAACTTTTGTTTACTTCTTTTGATTATATAAATAATGCTTTTAAAATGAACTTTTTAGATAAATTAGGTCAGCATACTTTTGCGTTTAAAAACTAATTTTTAATTTAATTCTGAAGACCTTTATTTTTACCCATCCTTCTTAATTAACTTCCTAAAATTAAAAAAAATTATCTTAATCATTCATTAGCAGCTTAAAAGACTTTGTCAATCTCTTCAATAAATATTATTACTAACACTTAAATACTTGAAAATACAATTTAATTGTACTTAAGTAACTTACACTGCTATTTTTACTATAATATTTATTCTAAGTACTCCTTAAATACAAAATAACTATAATTTTTTGAAAAAAGCCAAAGTAAAGACTTAAAATTAGAAAAAGAAAAAAAATATATCTAACGATTTCTTACGTTTTTCTTTTACTATTAATTCTGCTGTTTAACTTTTGCTATTAAAAATATAACATAGGCAGTAATATATATATGTGTAAATTTAATTTATTTTTCTTCATTTAATAAACAAAAAAATGCATAATTAATCACATAAAAAAGCAAACATTAATATTTTATTTTTAAATTTTTTTATTATTTCAAATAATAATAATAATTTTTTTTAATTATCTTTTTCATATCTAATAAAATTAAGTCTAACTGGTTATCATTTTAAAAATACATGAATTACATAACATAAAAATTATTTAAAAATTACTATTTATTTATTCTACACTAACACCCATCAATCATATTTATTTGATACCCACCTAACAAAAATATTTTATTAAATAATCAAATAAGTAAATATATGTATAGTATGCTAGGGTACTTTTCTTACATTTTTTTCAGGCCCATATATTTAAATCTAAACTCCTCAAAAATTAGACTAGATTAATTAATATACAAAAAATATAAAAATTATTTTATTAAAAAGATTAACATTTTAAGCTTAAAAGAGTCTAAATCAATTATCTTCACGAGTTACTTTATCACAGTAGCAGCTTGAATAAATCTTTGATAACTTTTAAAGAAATTTTGTTTTATTTTCGAAGATTAAATTATGTTTAGGCTAATCTCAATTCAAATTTAATTAGATTCTAAGATATTAAAAGAAGGAAGTATAATAAAAATAAATAGAAAAGCGCAGCTGCATACATTATAACATAATGATAGATGGTAATCTATTTGAAATTCATCTTATATGGTTTAATGAATATTATTACCTAATCTAAATATTAAACAGTAAATGTTTATCTTGTCCTAAGATAAAATCTACTTTTTAGTGGCAAGAGATAATTAAATTCATAGGAAAAAGAGATTTAAATTAACTGCAGTTATAAATACGATCATAAATTATTTAATTAGATAATTTTTAAAACATCAATCAGTTATTTCAATTTTAAATAGTCAAAATAGTATTTAAAGACTCCTCTTAGCTTGGATATATATTAGTATTGGATTTTTGTACAAATAAATTAAATTACATAAATAATCGATTAACTATCAAATTTTAAGCTAATTCGTTGAAATAAATAAAAATTAGATTTTGTGTTTTAAAGAAAAAAAATGAAGAAATTCAAGCACTTTCTTTCTATTTCTAATTCAAAAAGCTCAGTAGAAGTAAGATGCCTTTAATTAATATGGAATATAAATATGGATTTAAGCTAATTATTTTTTTTACGCTTAAGTCTATTTGATAATGACTTAAATTGGAGAATCTAGTATTTAATATCAATCCTACTTTAAACTCCTACAAGAAATTAAATAAGAATTTTATAAGAAAAGATAATCCTGATTTATCAATCTATTTTTGATTATAACTTATGTATAATTTGCCAAAATTATTATTACCACACACATAATTTGATTAAATTTGTTTATTCATCTCAATTAAAGTCAGATATATTATGCAATATAAATATTTTGATTTGTATGTATCCTTCAATGTACATCAAAGTACCTTTTTACAATAGCTTAAAAAACTGCATAGTTGGATTTTTTAATAAGCCAAATAATTAAATTAAGCTAATTTCATTTTTGCTTGTCAAAAATTGACTTAATTGCTCAAATTTTTAGTAACTTAGTAAAAAATATATTTCTATTCTTATTTTTTACATCTTATAACCTTTACAGTATTTGAGAATAAAAGAATTAAGTAGATATCTTAGCATTTAAAAATATTAATACATTTTAAAAATAAAATTATTTGATTAAGATATATTATTACTAGTTAAATTCCTTAACTTTTTTATTATAGTCTAAACGTATTAAAAAATTACTTTGACGTTATTTATTAAAGACATTTTTATGACAGAACACTGAGTAATTTATTTTTACCTGTAAGCTTATTGTTTGATTGAATTAATTTAGTTCTATTCCTATTCTAGATTTTAAAGGCAACGAACTAGCAATCTTAATAATAAATACAAATATATTAATATAAGACAATATCTATTTAATTATATCTTAATATATTAATCTAAATAATTAGGAAAGAAAATTTTAAAACCAAAATATTTTAAATTACTTAAAATAATCTAATTACTTGCTATTTCTATTAGTAGAATATTCTTATTTATTTTCATTTATTATCAGGTGCATACTGCTTACTAGCTTTAATAATCTTACTTCATATTAAACAATTAAAGATTTACTAAATATATACATATATACTTCATTTCTCTAAGATATTTAAGTGACACCAAAAATAATTAAAAAATAAACCACCTTAACTATTTGTTTACAAATTTTAGAATTGGATAAATTAATTATTAAAATTTATTTTATGCCAGGTATGTTTATAAAAAATACTTTAATAACGCATTTAAAAATTAAAGATAAATTTATCTATTGATGATTTCGATTTACTTAGTAGTACTTACTTGAATTTTAATTTAATTATAGAAGAAATTAAATAAATGAATATTAAACGCTCTCTCTTTTTTAGTTCTTTGGTAGTCATCATAAAAAATAAAAGTGATAGTTACTGCCTAATATTTCATTTATGGAAATTAAAAAATACAAATTTTAGAAACTTTTGAGAATACAGAAAATAAAAACAAACAACACTCTTTTGATTTTTACAAAGAATAATTAACTAATAAATTTAATATTAAAGATAGCATACAATCAAAAATAAAGAGAAGTCACAATACGAAAGAAAATATGAAACAAATTTATTTGTTCTTTATAATTTACTTAATTAGAGCTTATTGCAAACCTTGTTAAAGTTAAAATTTATATGGAAATGTTTGCCATTCAAGTTATGTTAAGAAATTTATTCTGGATTAAGACTTAAATTAAGCATACTCGATATCTGATGATTAACTAATTATAACATGGAATATTATAAGTGGTTAATATATCAACAGCTTTTCTGGTCATAGGAGCTTTTTAGTAGACATAAACTTAGATGAAAATGGAAATATTTATAGCGTAAGTAGTACAGGAGATATAATCATTTAAAACAAATATAATAGCTCTATTAAATAGATCTTTAATTGCACAAATGGTAGAGTTATCCAAAATATAACAAAGTTTGATTCTACCTTTAACTATTTTCTCTATTATGATTCTTCATAAACAAAAGTAAATTTATTAGTTTTTTGTAATAGAAAATTAAATATAATAAATACATTTTTGGAAAATATAATAATGTTAGAGCATGTAAAATATACTCGACAAACCCTATTTTTCTCTATATTTTTTGATAAAAAATATTGAAATATATCAAACAAATAATTAGACTTTGTACAAAAATGTGTCTAGTTTTTATATAATTATATATATATAAATAAAATATTATTATATTTGCCTCAGTAAATATTATTCTAAAAATAAAAATTATTTTATTTTGATTTAAAAAAGGTCAACATTTTTAGCTTAAGCTAACAAAAACAAGTTCTTTCATTGAGTTTTTCATAGTAGGAATTAATTTAAATAATTGAGAATCTTTAGTCAGATTTTATATTTTTCTTCGCAGATGGTAGTTATATTGAGGCGAATATAAAATTGAATTAAATTAAAGGTTTTAAATTAGATACTTCAATTACTAATGTAATGAGTGTTATATAGAAAGATACTAAAGATTTAGGTATATACCTGATAACTTAATAATAATAGGTATTCGATATAAAATATTTATCTTAAGGTTCCATGTAAGTATTGAACATTTAAATGCCTAGCATTAATATTGCGTATTAAGTTTTTATAATTCCAGAAGATGATATGTACTTTATGGTTACAAATTCTAATTAAATTATATGGGGAAATTTAAATTAACTTTAATAATAAAAGAAATTTTAAAACATCTAATTTACAGATTTTGAGAATATCAATCAGCTGACTCTTTATTCAATAATCAAAATTAATAATAACCAGTATGTGGCATCCACACATTTAGGATATTTATTATAATTAAATACTTCTTAAAATTTACTTACATATATAAATACTAAACGTTACTATCCCATTTAATATCTAGCTCTTGCTGAAGTTAATAAAAATTAGATGCTTTTTTATAGTTTTCAAGGAAACTATGAAGGAATTCAAGCTATTTCTACTTCTAGTTGGGAAATCTAAATTGAAATGAGATGTCTTTTATTGCCATGGAACTTAAATGTAGAATAAAGCTAGTTAATTTTTAATTATGAAGAAGACCAACTGGTAACTACTTATGTTGGGGGAACTAGTTTGCAGGACCTAACATCAAACTAGTTTACAAAATAAATGAGAATATTTCAGCAGAGACTAGTTCTTCCTTATTAATCAATTATTGATTATAATATAGGCGTAGTAGTATTTTTAGATAATGATTTCATCAATGTTGTTAATTACTATTCCTTTGAGTTGATTAAATTTATTCAATTTGTCTCAAACCTTAGTAAAATAAAAGCAGATTTGAAATACGATCAAAGTAGCTATAATTTATATGTAACAAGCAGTGGAAACAATAGTATTTATTTTAACTTTACATTATGAATATAAATTTATATCTTTATTTTAAAATATTAAATATGTAGTGGTTTAGCATACTGTTGTAAACTTAAAAACAATGTCGGTAGCATAATACAATGCCTCATTAAATTTATAGTAAATTAATTAACTTAATAGTTTTTTTTTTGAATTATTTTTAAATCTAAAATTTAGGTCTAGTTGCATTAGTTAAGAGTACTTTCCTGAAAGAAATGTAGTTATGTGTTTTAGTTTTTCGAGCATTACCCTTTATGATATTGATTTAGCGTAGTAGTAGCTAACAGTTAAAGTAAGTTAAAATCTGAATGATTTTACAGTAATAAAGGCATAAGATTAAGATGTCTTGCTACTGCTGAATGGATTTGGGTAGCAAACTACAGTTGCAAAGTATAATTCAACCACATTAGAGTTAATTGATAAATAATTCATTACAGTTAGAGGAATTACTAATATGTATTTATTATCATAGCAAAAGCTTGTAATTATTTTAACAACATTTAACCCAGCTTTTATTTTTGATATAAATGGTAATTTTGTATTTCAGGCTAACAAAATAAATTAAAATACTCAAATATTAATTTAAGCTTAAAATTTTATTTACTTTTAACAAGATCAATAGATTGAATCCCTAAATTTACAAACACTTAAAAGCTAAATTTATAATATAGCTTAGTAGAGTATAATTACTTGCTACTTTTATGATTCACAAAGTTAGTTAATATTTTTTGGATACTTGCAAGGAGATATTTTATATGGTTCTTACAATGATCTCTCTAAATACAATTTAATTAAATCTAATTTATAATTACTTCAAATTTACTTCAATGCACCGAGCTAATTGGTATATGCATGTAAATTTTCATTTTTTATACACCATATTATATTTTAATTCTTTTCAATAATATAATAGTTTTAAATTATTATATTTTGAAATCATTTTTAAATTTAAAAAAATAATATCATTAATAATTAAATATTTCATAAAATAATTATTTACATTAAATTAAGAATAATAAGTCACTGCAGACCAACCTGATGAGATCATTATGCTTAAAATAAATCAATAATAAGAATTTGATTATTAATATTAAGTAACTCAGCTTATAATTTAGTAAACAACTTTATCTGCGAGCTTTAATTTAATTATACAGATCAAGCAAAATTAAATAGTATTTTATGATATAAGAAATGGATAAAAGCTTTTAAAATTTAATGATGACAAAGTGTATACTCAGTATTTTAATTCATTTTATATAGGTACTATTTTAAATGGAAATAAATTCTATGTTTTAACACAGTTTAATTTTTGCCTCTTCTCGTTTAAATATCCTTAAATACCTGAGTAATCAATTACAGTTAAAAGAGAAAATTGTGTTGGTTCTTTTGATTATGGATTTGACGTTAATTCAAGTATGAATTCAAAGTTTGAAACTGCTTTAATTATAAATGGTAATACCTATATTTATGATTTAAATACATTTAAACTAGTTTAAACATTAAGTATATCTTGCTGCTTTTCTGGATATAGTTACAGTATAAAGCATGGAATATATTTTGGAGCACTAAATATATTTGTTTTTCCGATATAGCTTTAGTTTATTTCAACATCGTAAAATAAAACACTTAACTAATTTTTTGTTGATGCCACTTTGTTTTAAAATATTATCTAAATAAGTTAAGATTTTACTTGCTACACAGATTCACAAGGGTAAAATTATTATTTTTTTTGAAAATAATTAATTAATATATTTATAATCATTTTTTAAATTGGTCAGTAATTTTATCTATTTTCATGAAAATCCCCCCTTTTTTAAACACTGGCACTTGTTATAAATAATGAAAAAATTTAATATTTGATTTTTTTAAAATGAAATATGTGACGATTTTATAGTTTTTAATTAAAAATGATTTCATAAAATTCTTTCTTACCAATAAATAAATGTTTTATTTTACAAGCTGATTTAAGCTAAAAAATAATAAACTTAAAATAATATTTATAAATATATAAACAAATAATTACTTAAATAGGTGGGTGTGGTTTTATTCGTTCTAATCTTAGACATTAGTTCATTCAAAGAGATTTCATGCTAGCGTCACGACTATGATAATTTATTTGGAGTTGTCTTCTGAAATATTTGCAATAAGTTAAAATAAAATATATTATGGGATTCTTAACTTTTTTACTGGGGATGACAGATAGAATTATATTATAAATTCTTAGTCTAGTAGTGTATCAGATATCATAGTGATAGATAATTTAGACTTATTAATTGTAAATAGTGGTGATAGTTTCTATTACTTTTATTAAAAATCTACAGGATCTTTACTAAAGACGATAAATTAGCTTTAAATTTTCTATGTTAAATCATTTTAATAATTAATTTATTTATAATATAATAATGGGCCATTTAAAATGTTTGACATAAATTCACTTTATTAAAGTACAGATTCTTTCTTAGATAGAAATCAGAATGTCATACCTAAATTATATGATTAAAATAATTAAATGATTTATGCTGTTTCATATTTGAATTAAGTTTACTAAATAGATATTCTCAATTAAAAAATGAACAATCTAATGATAAGATTAAATTAAATAATTTCTATTTCACAGATTGGTAGCTATAATATCTATCAAACATCTTAAGAAATTATATTCTAAAATATGAATAAGCTCAATTAAGCTTATTAGATCATACCTATAGCTTCGCATTTATTAGAGATAGTGCAGCTTTCTCAAGTCTAAGACATACTTCAGAATTTTAAACTAATACTAATAACTTTTCCAATATAAATATGTGTTTTAACAGGAAGTTTTGATGGTTAAAATTTAAAATACTCTGAAAAGTAGTGTACATCCCAGCTTAATTATAAAATTAGTTCTACTTTATAAATTAATGAAAATATAAATTTAATACTGCATACAAATGGAATGATGAGTATTATCAATAACAATATAAATGCAGTTGGAATAGCTGAAATTTTACTCTAATAATAATGCCATAATAAAAAATATTACATATAAAATCTACAGAATTATAAAACCTCTAATTCTACAACAGAAATTTAATACTTTTTAACTTATTCCATTGATCTATCTATAAAATTGTTTTCCTTAACAATTAATAAAACTAAGAATTAATACACATTAAATCAAATTTATTTCTAATAATTTGATAACAAGATACTGCATATTATATTAACAAATGACTAAAAATATGTAATTGTAGGTCTTTAGAATGAAAGAATTATCTAGAAAATCTGTATTTATTGTCAGATAAATAACACAACTTTAATATTTTAAAGCTTTTTCTAGCTCCCTTTTTCCAGAAGCAAGTACTAAATTCAATTATATGAGAAATAAAACTATCTACTAGTTTTTTCAAGCTAAATGTTCATACTTTTTGATTTTTTAATAACAAATCCTCTTTTTATCTCTACACAAAGTTATCTCAATAACTTAATAGCTGATATATAAGTAGTAAGCAGTAATTAAATTGTCATTTCAACTTAAAATAATGTATAACTACTTAATTTAGATTTTTAATCATACAAATACAGCTTTTATGGAGCAACAACCCAGCTTTTTATTTAGTAAAATTAAAACCTAAAAATTTTCTTTGCAAATATCGAAACAAATCCTTTAGATCAATCTTATTATGTATTCAATTTGATTGGTTATGATTTAGGATTGAATGATGTGGTATTTTACAAGATACCAATTATCAGTAGCAATGATAATTATACTTGCTTAGAAGTTTTTGAAAATCCTACTTAAGTCATGATATAAAAGAAAATAGATGGATATTAATAGCTTCAAAATTCTCTCACTGTTCAAGTTAATAATTACCAATTTTAATTGGAATTTACATAAAACCTTCTTAATTAAAATAATACTTATATTCCAACTGCTTATCCAATAATAATACCTCATTAATCAAATAATTTAAAACAATAACTTATATTCACTGGTGATAAAATTTATTTAGATAAAATAGATTTTATTAGCATGTAAAATTACTATACAGTTATTTTATTTATAAATGCAACCATTTATGTTAAAGATAATGTGTTGATTCAGAAGTTTAACCTAAGTCGCATT